CTCCCCCCCTCCCCTCCGCGCGCATACGCTATTGCGCTATGGGCGGAATGAAAGTGTATTAACTCTCATAGCTCGCGAACGAATTGAGCTACATTTCTAGAAACCTAGTTACATATAAACACATGTCTTAGCTATAATCTCCGTGAATTTTGAGTTTATTGAATCACGAATGGTTTAATTAATTACCAAAAATATACGCACGGTATCGCTCATAGGCTAATATATACGCGCGGCTATATGGCCCATAGGATAGTGTACTAACTATAATATCTCGCGAAGGATTTGAGTTACATTTCTAAAATTCTAGATACCTATAGACACATGTCTTAGCTATACTCTCTGTGAATATTGAGTTTATGGACGCACGATTAGTCAATATATTAGCAAATATATGCGCGCGGAAGTGAATTACAGATGGTTAAATGTTCGAACCCCCCCCGACTCCGAATCCCCCTACTGCGCCCGCCTGTACTGTGGGTATTCAGAGCAGTGATTTGTAATAGTGATGTAGATATAGATATAGCATAGCGATATAGTATAGATAATCAGTGATTTATATGCTCTGGTGTACTGGCGCATTGTACAGCTGGTACATGTATTGGCATTGTATACAGGCGGGTGCGTTAGGGGGGGTTCGGAGTCGGGGCATTGGGCACCCCCTCTAATAATTACTAATAATACTACTGCCATAAGCTACAACTGTGCCAAGTTTGAGACTTTTGTCACTCCTGTAACGATTCGGCCCATATTTTGCACTAAGGGACCTGACTACTTGCGGGTTGCTGAGTAACGTTAACTGTTAACTGACTTGACGATCAGCGCCGCTAGCGGCAGGCGCGCGCATGACCGGTGTCTCATTGATATGTTCATTAGCAGAAATTTCTTGATGCACCAGAACATTTTTGTACTTTATATATAAATCAGTTATTCTTCAGTATTAATGTGCTTTAGTCCAAACTTTCTTGTAATATTCTAATTATAATACTTATGAGTGCAACCTCAACCCCACGAGCTTGAATGCAATGATCTTGATAAGTCAGAACGGTAGGAAACTCGTGGGTGATTAATCCATCTGTCACCCTGGCATGTTGACAGGAAGATCTAGTGTTCGCGACGGCAGGTATCACTACCTCGCTCAGGCGAATTTGTGAATTAATTACACGGCGTGTTTATTAATTGAACATTGATGCTTTCCTACAGGTATTACCTCCCACTTATGGTGCTCTGCTGCTTTGTGTTGCCGACTGCTGTGCCGACCCTGTGGGGAGAGAGTGTCTGGAATGCGTACATCGTCTGCGGACTTCTGCGCTACGGCGTGACGCTGAACGCCACCTGGCTGGTGAACAGTGCCGCGCACATGTGGGGCAACAAACCATATGACAAGTAAGTGCAGCACAAGTGGCGCCCCTTTTAGAAATGCATCTTGATGAATAAACGGGTCGTTGACGTTGAGGTGGGGCACCGTTATCCGTGAACAGGGTACGTACGCGTTAGCCGAAGGCCCCCTGCCTTCGGCTAACGCGTACCCTGTTCACTCTAGGTGCAGCTCGAGTGCAACTCTAGGTGATAGAATTAGCAGGTGTTTAATTATCTGGAATGGGTAATGTCTTTGTCCTGCATCGTTGCTGCTTTGTCATGACACAAACACAACACAATGCCGAAAGACCTTAGCCATATTTTAAAACAGTAGGAATGTTTTAATAACGATACTGTGTCTCCACCTACACGCGCTCACGTGTCTCCACCTACACGCGCTCACGTGTTGCCCTCTGCGCGTCCGCAGGAAGATCTCGCCGACGGAGAGCTTCATGACGGTGATGCTGGCTGCGGGTGAGGGCTTCCACAACTACCACCACACGTTCCCGCACGACTACGCGACGTCCGAGTTTGGCAAGATGTTCA